TTATTATTCCCATTGTCATTCCCATTGTTATTCCCGTTCTTATTCCCATTATTCCCTTTGTTATTTCCGTTGTTCCCGTTGTTATTCCCGGTGTTCCCATTGTTATTCCCGGTGTTATTCCCATTGTTCCCAGTGTTATTCTGGTTGTTATTCCCATGATTCCAGTCGTTATTCCTGTTGTTATTCCCGGTGTTATTCCCGGTGTTATTCCTGTTATTCCCAGTGTTATTCCCATTGTTATTCCCGTTGTTGTTCCCGTTGTTATTCCTGTTGTTATTCCCATTATTCTCAGTGTTATTCCCGGTGTTATTCCCGTTGTTATTCCCATTGTTATTCCCGGTGTTATTCCCGGTGTTATTCCCGGTGTTATTCCCGGTGTTATTCCTGTTATTCCCAGTGTTATTCCCAGTGTTATTCCCGGTGTTATTCCCGGTGTTATTCCCATTATTCCCGGTGTTATTCCCATTGTTATTCCCATTATTCCCGGTGTTATTCCCGGTGTTATTCCCGGTGTTATTCCCAGTGTTATTCCTGGTGTTGTTCCCGGTGTTATTCCCGGTGTTATTCCCATTATTCCCGGTGTTATTCCCGGTGTTATTCCCATTATTCCCGGTGTTGTTCCCGGTGTTATTCCCGGTATTCCCGGTGTTTTTCCCACCTGTGGAGCAGATCCCGGGTCAGCTCACTCAGGACTTTCTCTCCGGTCACCGCCGTGTCCGGCCCTTCCCCGGCTCCTTCCTCCTGCTCGGGAAAATCCGGGAAAATCCGGGAAAATCCAGGAAAATCCGGGAAAATCCAGGAAAATACGGGAAAATCCAGGAAAATCCAGGAAAATCCAGGAAAATCCGGGAAAATCCGGGAGCTGCCGAGCCCCGACATTCCCGGGAAAACCCCGGGAACGCTCAGCCAGCAGGGAACGGCGGCTGATCCACGGAATTGGGGTTCATTCCCAAGGAATTGGGGTTTATTCCCATGGAATTGGGGTTTATTCCCATGGAATTTGGGTTTTTTCATGGAATTGGGGTTAATTCCCATGGAATTGGGGTTTATTCCCATGGAATTTGGGTTTTTTCATGGAATTGGGGTTAATTCCCATGGAATTGGGGTTTATTCCCATGGAATTTGGGTTTTTTCATGGAATTGGGGTTAATTCCCATGGAATTGGGGTTTATTCCCATGGAATTTGGGTTTTTTCATGGAATTGGGGTTAATTCCCATGGAATTGGGGTTTATTCCCATGGAATTTGGGTTTTTTCATGGAATTGGGGTTAATTCCCATGGAATTGGGGTTTTTTCATGGAATTTGGGTTTATTCCCATGGAATTTGGGTTTTTTCATGGAATTGGGGTTAATTCCCATGGAATTTGGGTTTTTTCCCATAGAATTGGGGTTTATTCCCATGGAATTGGGGCTTTCCCATGGAATTACGGCTTATTCCCTTGGAATTTGGGGTTAATTCCCAAGGAATTGGGGTTTATTCCCAAGGAATTGGGGCTGATCCATGGAATTTGGGTTTATCCCCATGGAATTGGGGTTTATTCCCAAGGAATTGGGGTTTATTCCCATGGAATTGGGGTTTATTTCCATGGAATTGGGGTTTTTCCATGGAATTGGGGTTAATTCCCATGGAATTGGGGTTTATTCCCATGGAATTTGGGTTAATTCCCATGGAACTGGGGTTTTATCCCATGGAACTGGGGCTGATCCCACAGAACTGGGGTTTTTCCATGGAATTTGGGTTTATTCCCATAGAACTGGGGTTAATTCCCATGGAACTGGGGCTGATCCCACAGAACTGGGAAGGAATGGCTGCGGAATTCCCGGCCGGAATTCCCGTCATTCCCACCTGCTCCGTCAGCAGCTCCCACATGTTCCTCTTCAGCCTCCTCATGTCCATCCTCTTGGCGGCCTTGGCGTATTGGATCGGGATTTTATGGATCTGGGGGAGGGAATCCGGGATTATCCGGGATTATCCGGGATCGGCGCTGGGATCCGCTCGCGTCATTCCCGATTTCCCGTGGGAATAACGGCGAGCGCGGCCAGAGCCCGGAATTGTTCCTCTGGGAATGACGATCCCGGGAATTCCGGGAATCCCAAGGGTTAATTTGGGAATTGTTCCTCTGGGAATCCCGGGAATTCATTTGGGAATTGTTCCTCTGGGAATGACGATCCCAGGAATCCTGGGAATTAATTTGGGAATTGTTCCTCTGGGAATGACGATCCCAGGAATTCTGGGAATCCCAGGGGTTAATTTGGGAATTGTTCCTCTGGGAATGACGATCCCGGGAATTCCGGGAATCCCAAGGGTTAATTTGGGAATTGTTCCTCTGGGAATCCCGGGAATTCATTTGGGAATTGTTCCTCTGGGAATGACGAT